GAAAAATGGGCATAGACTCCGGAATAGCCGGAGAAACCATTTCTTTATTGAAGGTATTAAGCAGTATTGCAGAAAACAATACTTTACAAAATTATTTAGATGCAAACTGCCTGTTTTTAACTAATTTCATTTTTTATCCGGAACAAATTCCAAAAAGTCCAATCATAACCCACGCACTGCTTAGTTATTGTGATGCAACTCATGCGGGCATGTCTTCTTTATCACTAGATGGGTTTGAATTTTTACAAAATGCTTCTGTTTTCAACAAATACAAGGTCTTTTATAATATAGACTTACTTATACTATCTAGAAGTCGCATTTATTCTAGTACATTGGCCCAGTTAAATAATAATGCATGCTTAAACTTTATTAAAATATGCAAAAACACAGTTATAGATTTTGATTCTAAGTTAGATCTAAGCTCATCAAAAATATTTAGTGTAGAAATAGATGGAATAGACAGAAAGTATATAGATCCATTGTTAACTGGATTGCTTTCTTTTGATATCTTAATAGATATAACTATAAGCAATATTAACTTTATGAGCACATCTTCACTTAACAATATAACAAAGCTGAGTAAAATAGACAAGTTTACTCTCCAAAATATAGTTTTTGAAGGTTCGCCAGACTTCTCTTTTCTTAGAAAAATGGATAAACTTTCCGATTTAACTATGAATAATATTTTCTATTCGTATACAAATGAATTTAAAATAGAAGACTTGGATAGAATTAAGCAGAATCCAGAAGAATACTTAAGAATAACAGCTGAGCCAGAAGACTCTTCTGCACAGAAACAAACAGTATTAAACAAGTCAGACGATATAGTAAGAAAGAACAAAGCAGTTGGTGAGTCTATTTCTCCTAAATTGGTTAATGTAGACAGCAAGTTATACAATGATTTAGGACTATGTAAATTAAAACCCAAAGAAAGTAATAATTCATGTTATATGAATATTCAATTAGCACCTAAATCATTGGATGGTAAGCCAATGTCAACTAAATTTAGATTTAGCTTAGAAAAAGAAAGCATTAATGTTTCTCTTTTCTCCGGCGATACTCAGATTCAAGATGTAATTGATTGTCTTAAATGCATTGACTTTCCATTCACACGGGAAACAACTATAGATGAAATTATATTTACTAGTTATTGTATGCTATTTAGTGATAGTGAAATAATGGAAACAATTTCTGATAGGTTATTTAAGTATGCAGAGCACAATAGGATTAAGAAAATCAAAGTTTCATCCAGACTTACTCCCACTCCAATGGATATGTACAGAGTTGTTATGTTTAATAGCAAAATGCCTACTCTTGAAGAAATGACTCTATCTAAGATTAAACTAACACCAACTAAAACATCTGCCCAAAACGATGATGAGAAAAATGCATTGGAATCTTACTGCACTTTTATTAAAAAAGATTCTTCTTATACAGAACTTCATTTTGTAAAAGATGGAGATATTATGAAAATAGAACAGAAACCAAGAACTGAAAGAGAGTTGTTAATACAAAAACTATTTGATCAAAACAAGACATAAAAATAGAAGTTTGTCTTTAGTTTGTATTATATAACTGTAATAAATATCCAACCATTTTAGATAATCTACAGCTTAAAACAATATCTTTATTAGATAAAGGAAATAATTCAGCTATACTTAGATAATGCTATTTACATTTATTAGGCCACTTTAAGAGCATTATTTCTCTTTAATGCCTTTTTAAGAGATTTAGCAAATTTCTTCTGGCACTGTTTAGAAATAGCAGGAATGGTTCTTTCTTTAAGTATTTTATTACGATTGTCTCTATGTATTTTCTGAAGGTTCGCCTGTGTGAAAGCATGCTTAACTTTCTCATTTGACTCACTGCTTTGTATTGAATTTAAGCTTTCTAGTGAACTAGAGTTGGCTGCACTCTGTGCTAGAGCCAAAGAACATAATCTTTTGGATTTCTTATGGGGTGCTGGTAGATCATTTTTAGCAGAATCTGCCTCTGCTTTTTTTGACATACGCGAAAGATGAAGCTGCTGCAAAAAGTACAAGATCTTTCTAGTGGGACTCATCTCGGTACTATTCATTTTAGCAATGAAAACATCCCTTTCATCAAGTCCCGTATTGTTTTTATACGCTCTTTGATAGATGGGCGTGGAACTGCTTTAGCCGATGAGGGCGCTGGCTTGTTCTCAATAGGCTGAATTTTATTATTTAATTCTTTCCCACAAAGCGCAGTAATATTGGATAAAACTAATTCTGCATACTTTAAGGGTGTAATACTCTGTTCTATTTTGCATGGCTCAGAAATAGAACTACTTACACTAAGTATTGCATATATGATGTCTTCATGTGGTATGTCTTTTCTTTTGATTAGTCCTGTTTCAAGTATTGCAGCTGCAACTGTCTGTGAATATTCCTGGCCCAGCCCAGATATGTCTATAAGAAGATCCTCTATATACTTAGTGCACCATTTGAAATATACACTAGGGTGACAGCGGTACGTAAATCCTCTATCTGTTGGATGCGGTGATTCATAATAGTACATTGGTGGTATAAGCGGCCTTGGGTTTGGTGGGTTATCCAACTCCTCGCCAAGATACGTCTGTTTCTGTTTTTTGTTTATCTGCATTTGAATTTTCTCTTGAATTTCTTGCATGGTAACATACTTTTTTTTGCTTGGAGAAGATGCATCGTCTGGCTTACGTGCCTGTTTTCTGCGCTTAAATGCATGCTTTACAGCGCGTGCAGTTTTTCTGGGAATGTTTTTGATCGACCGCCCAACCTTCCAAATCATTCTTCCCGCCAAGGGAATAACCCGATAAATTCTTCGTCTTCTCTTTGAAATATACCTACAAGTTGATTTAAGTATGCCGGCGGTTTTTGTTATGAGGTACTTAGCTGCTCGGAATGGAATAGCTAAATTCCTTGCAATTGGTTCGGCCCGTCTAATACACCTGAAACTTGCTCTTTGTATTCTTTCGTGTGCTCTTATGATTCTTCTCATGATGTCAATAAACAAACTTTACTATTTATGATTTAAAGTCATTATAAATAATACACAGTTGACCTAAAAATAACACTTTTCTAACCAACAGCTCATAATTTAAGAGAAGTAGAAATAAGCATGCACTTTTCTCTTTCAGCAGCTATAACCCACATATTGGCATCACGCACTGTTTTTGTGGTTTAATATTTTGAACATCCCAAAATTCCTCAAAATACATATTCCTTTTGTTTATATGCTTAAGATGTGTATATGACCATAGTTTTATAATTATAATTAGCACTCTATTGAATACACCAACAGCATCCAATGTTTATTTCAACACCAATTATCAATGTGAAATAAATATGGTGTCTGGCCATTCACATTCTTAAACTCATATTTTCCTTCTATGTATAATAAATATGGTTTTTCTACTCATTCTCTTTAGCTGTAAAATAAAAATAAATACGTATATAATTCTATTTAAATATAAAAGTGAAAGGCTTATTTATAAAAAAATGTAAGGCATAAATAATATTTTATTTTAATAAATCATGCTTATATTATAGGAAATATATAAAAACTTTACATGAATAAACAGCATATGAATCATAGGAAATGGGCAATAACGCCAATATAATCTAAATCAACTTCACATACTATATATTAATAAATTGCTTTATATCTAAAAAACTGCTATAAAGATTCTAATAATGTAATAATAAAACATTTACATATTATTCAATAGTTTATTCTTAAGATTATTAAAAGAAAGTGTTTAGGATATTATAGTGTATTCCGAGCTTAGACTTTGTGTAATTAACATTTTTTATACATATATGTATTTTAGAGATATCTGATATTTCAGATGTATTTATATCTTGATGGGTCTTTATGAATTCAATGTTTCTTTTTGATGCAGGACTAAGCATATCATACATTCCATTATATTTACCAAAGAGCTCATCCATAAAAATTTTCATTCTTGAGCATAAAAGAGGAACTATATTACTCTTTCCTGTGCTTTTTCTTGTATATATGCATATTCCATAACGGAGCATATCCTGTGAAGCATGCTTTCTTTGGAGCATGTTTAAGAATGAGAAAATTATGTGAAACTTAGTACTTCGCAGCTCACAATTTGTCCTCTTTCTAAAAGAAACACGGTCTAGATCTAATTCATAGTTAGTATACTCTCCTAGATCATATTGTTTTTTTACATACCATGATATTTTCATTTTGTTTAATTCATAGGTTTTTTGCTTAATATTCATGGCATAGCAGTCGCAGTCTTCATACAGGCTGTTTATGCCTAGTATGTAAAAATCACTATAATAATTTAGTTCCCTCTTATACATAGTAGCTAATTCTATAATTGTCTGTTTTCGATCTTCTTTCTTAACCATATAGTCTAACCAACTAGAAAACTCAATAGGGACTAGATTTTGGTAGTCTGTTGTAAGTTGCTGAATTAAACAATTTTCTTTGTTTAAAATGTATGGGCCAATATGCACTGCCAATGTGATAAATTTAGGAAGAAACAGTGGTATTCGTGGTACACTATCATTCGGCACATATCCATCAAATAACTTCTTTGCCTCAACTTCATCTTCTTCATATGCTGTATTAATTGTCTCTTTACTAATAGGATTAAACTGTGCGAGCACAAAGTCATTAATTTTTATGTTCTCTTGAATATAGTAAAATATAACATCAAATCCCAACTTGTCCATCTCTCCTATGGTTTTATTTATTTCACTGCCAATACTATCCGCTAACTTTCTTTTTTTCCTGTCATTATTGATAAAGCCAATCATTGACCATGTTTTGTCCTTTCTATTATACTTAAATGGATATACATTGTTAACTAATGGCCGACCATATCGGGTTTTGGTATGGAATGTTTTTCTTACATGATTTGCAATATCATCTATTGTATGTATATAGTGATACTCTTTAGTCCCGTTACTATCAAGCATAAAAAACGGAAAATGCATAATATGCACACGATGTGCACTGTTATCTATAAGTTGGATATGGTAGTGATGTGAATAAGATAACACTGCGCTGTCTTTGTCCCTATAGCTATATATTATATCCAAGTTTGATATATCGTCTAATATTTTTTTATTTGAAGATATAGCTTTTTTGGTATATTCAAATAAGAATTTGCATTTAACAAATGGTGTTTTTATAATAACGCCTTTTCCTTGATAGGTGGTTAGATTATCTCTAGAAAATTTTGTATAATTTTTCATAGCAAAATAGCTTAGGTTTCCCTGCACTGGATGGTGAGCGTTGCTTATACAAGAACTTGTATTCGGGTTATATAAATATAAAGAATACCTATAAAAGCATATAAATATCTTATAAACCAAATTATACACATAAATGTCGCTATATTGATATAAAGATTTTTTTTTATCTTCTTGTATTTTTTTATATGACTCCTCAATTATTTTTTTTTGCGTATGAACCTCTCCATATAAGTACTCTATAATATAAAACTGATCGCACATCTCTTTAACAATATCATTAAAAGATTTACTTGCAATTTTCTGCTTTACTAGATTAATTTCATCATACTGCATATAAAACAAGTCTTCATATATTTCAGGAATGCTCAGAATCAGTAGAAGCTTCCGCTTTAAATCCAAGTCTTTCTGCAATTCTTCTGTATCTACATGGGTAGACTTTTGTATATGCTGAATTATGCAGGAGACCCACAGGCTTTCTGTATGCCACAGAAGGTTTATGTCTTTTTTAATGTATATGTCACCTAGTGTAACTTCATTTGGATTGAATCGCACTAATTTTCTATCTAATTTAACTTTTTTCTTTTTGATATAGCAAGAGGAATAGTTCTTAGTTAAATACTTATACAGATTAGAACTCATTCCAGAATACCCCATATTGCATTGTTTAAACATTTTATCCATATAATCTCTATTATTGCCTATAAAATCAATAAGTTCCAGCTTTGTGCTTATATTTTCTTTTTTAATCATATATAGCCCACTCCATACAATTTTACGCTCTTTTATAGCATTCTTTATACTATCTATTAATTTTGAATATATTTTAATATTTACTTGTGATTTAACAAATGATGGTGGCTCTTGATGGGCCTGTTTGGCGACAGACAGTCTATAAATACATAGAGTGTCTATAATGTTCTTATACTCATTTGAATATTTTAAAACTGGGTCTTTAATACTGTTTTGATTTCTCTTATTTATTTCATCTGCACTTTTCTGTACTATATTTATAGATGGATTTTCTTTATTTATTTCTAGATATTGGGTGGCATTAAATAGCATTTTGTTCATAGAAGTAGTTGGCTGTTCATATTTCATTGTCATTGTACTATTTGAAGCTACATCATTACATGCACTTGCATTGTAGTTTAATGGGGTTTCCACATGTGGTGCAGTGCTAAAATATGGATCTATAGTATTCGTATTAAATTCCTGTGGTGTAAATGTCTCTATTAAATCATCTATTAATGGTGTATCATACAAATAACCATTCTGATTAATAAATGGATTAAGCAATTGTACACTGTTCTGTACGCAGGATGTATTATTAGAATATATATTTATGGTCTGAGGATTAAATGTTTCTGGAGCTGGCATTTCTATTTGATCCAATTCAACTGGAGGATTATTCGCATGACTTTCTGTGCAGATATAAGTATTATACAAGTCTTCCATATCTTCTATGTAATTGTTATTGTCATTGCTTAATTCGCTGTTACTAATAAAATTCTGGGCCGGGCAATACTCATTTATATTACTGCTTATATCAGTTATATGGCTTAAAAACTCTTTGTTTGATGTACATATGACAATATTTAATGTTTTTAGGGGATTTAAACCCAACCACATGCTTAAAATAAATAGTATTACTGGGCTTCTTTCTATTTTAGCTTTATTTGAAGCTTTCATATTCTGTAAGGCATAAATAATATTTATTTTAAATAAATCATAACTAGATAATATTTAATAAAAGTAAAAAAGAATAAAGATAATAAATAGTGAATTAACTTTATTATTTACATGCTTTCTTACCTGCATATACAGATACAGAATAAAGTATATGATGCATAAAGAAGAGAATATCATATACTCTGTAATATTTCCTTGTTATAAAAATAGAACCACATAGGCCAGTTACTTTTTTCTAGAGTTATTTTAGAAGAATACATAAATAAACCATTCCCATGTTCTCTAACAATCATTGCTTTGGATAGTAATAGTATTTAAATGGTATTTGTTTATTCAACTGCACTGTTGATTCTTAAGGTTATTAAAGAACCGCATTTAAAATATTATAGTGTAGGCCAAGCTTAGATTTTGTGTAATTGATATTCTTTACACATATATGTATTTTAGAAACATCCGGAGGAATATATGTGGTTTGGTTTATGTATGCCTTTAAATCCTTAATATTTTCTTTCAGTGTAGGGCTAAGCATAGAACGCATTTTATTGTTTTTAGTTAATAATCCATTCATGCGGGTTTTCATTTCTGGGCAGGTAAGAGGAATTGTAAAACTTTGATCGGCGCTTTTTCTTGTATATATGCATGTTCCATAACAAAGCATATCTTGTGAGACATGCTTTCTTTGGAGCATATCTAAAAATAGGGATAAGGTTTGGCGTTTTGTCATTTTCTTTAATCCATCTGTAGTACAATTGTTACTATTTGGCAATAGGCACAGCTCGTAGTTGGTGTATTCTCCTATATTAAATTGTTTTTTTACGATCCATAATATTTTTATAATATTGCTGTATTCGAATTTTATTTGCTGAATCTCCATGGCATAACAGTCATAGTCCTCATATGGGGTATTTTTGTCTAATATGCAGAAATCGCTGTAATAATGTATTTCATGCCTATTTTTTTTAAGTATGTCTATAATTGTTAGGCTTTGATCTTTTTTTTCAGTTATAGAATCTAGCGAATTGGAAAACTCAATAGGAACTAGGTCTTGATAGTCTAATAGATTTTTAGTTTCATACTCTTCCGACTTTAAAACATAAGAGCCAGAGTGCACTGCTGATATAGTTAGTTTAGATAGGAATAGTGGTATTCGTGGAGCACCAACATTTGGCTCATATCCATTGAATAGCTTCTTTGCTTCTTCCTGGTTTTCTTTGTACGCTGCATTAACTACTTCTACGCCTATTGGATTGAACTGGGCAAATACAAACGCCGTTTTTTCTATATTCTCTTGAATGTAGTAAAACACAATATCAAAGCCCAGCCTATCCATCTCTTCTATGGTTTTATCCATGTCTGCACTGTTTTTACCTAATATTTTGCTGTTTTGGCCCTTTTTAGTACCTTTATTTTCAACAGGCAAAGTAATAATTGACCAGGTTTTGCTTTTTCTGTTATATTTGAATGGATAGATATTATTGGTCCATGTATATTTAGTATATAAACAGAGGTGTGTTATTTTCTGTATGTACTCTAAAATCGTTTCAATTGTATGGATATAATGATATGTTATAACATTGTCTTTTTTACCTACAAAAAATGGAAGATGTATAACGTGAACACGATGTGCGCGGTTGTCTACAAGCTGAACATGATAGTGGTTCGAATATGAGAGTTCAACAATATTTTTTTGTATATTATTACATTCTATAGTTTTATATAATATATTATCTAAAAACCTTGGTTTTAAATCATCCTTATTAGAGTATTTAAATGAAATGGTAAAGGCATTGTAATGGGCCAACATAACGGTGGCGGCGCCTCGATATATGGATATATCATTGTCTGGGCGTGGCGTATATTGCTTTATAGATAGATAGTTGCTGTTACTATTCTTTGGATAGCGAACGGCTTCTTTATAAAGATTTGTGTTTATTTTATATAAACACATAGAATATCTATAGAAATAGGTAAATACTTTATATACAAGCTGATATATTTGAATACTATCCATTCCATATAATATAGATTCAAGCATATTGGCTTTTATGTTTATATATGACTTTTTTACTATATCATTATTACTATGTATGCTTCCATATAAATATTCTATAATGCAAAAGAGATTACATATGCGCATAGAAGCCTTATTATAGCATTGAAACAAAATATTGTCTTTTACTAGATTAATTTCATCATACTGCATATAAAACAAGTCTTCATATATTTCAGGAATGCTCAGAATCAGTAGAAGCTTCCGCTTTAAATCCAAGTCTTTCTGCAATTCTTCTGTATCGACAGGGGTAGAATTTTGTATATAGCGAGAAATACTGGAGGCCCACAGGCTCTCTGCATGCCATAAAAGATTTATGTCTTTTTTAATATATATGTCACCTAGTGTAATATTATATGGCTTGATTATTGTTGTATATGAATCAGATTTTAAATGATTCACTGGCTCATTATAACAAAACTTGCATTGCTTGGTTAAATAGCCACTCAAATCTATAAATACTCCTTCATAGTAGGTTAAACCACAATCCTTAAATGTTTTTTTCAATTCAGCTGGACAATTGCTTAGATGCCTAATAAATCCCAATCCCAATTGGATATTGTCTTTTTTTTCTAAATGCAACGCAATCCATATATTTTTGCTTTTGTTAATAGCATCTATTGTGCTCTTTTTTAAGTTTAGTTCTGCACCCTCTATATCTACTTTAATGCCAAATAGCAGTGGTGCTGTTGTTCTATATTTAGTGGATTCTTTTAACATAGATAGTTTATATTCATGTAATTCTTTTATGAAAATCTTATACTGGTCTGAATTTTTGATTACGTCTAATTTAAAGATTTTACTGCGACTTCGCTTTTTTTTGCCTTCTTTGTCCTGTGTAAGTTTTCTTTTTCTTATTGTAGATGTGCTTTCTTGGATGCTTTCTGAATTAGGACTAATTTTATTTAATTCTTGGCTAACGGCGCTGACTGTTGGTGTATCTGCCATTGGTTCATCTGGTTCTAAATTAGTCCAAATTGATCTATCATTACACAATTGTTCTAGTGCAGAAGGGTTGGTATCAAGAAAATTGTCTATAGTCTGCAAGTTAAATATATCAGAGTTTGTGGTTTCTGTAAAGTCTTTTCCTAACAATGCACTATCCAGCCAATCTGGAACTTCAATATCTAGATCTAAGAGAAGATCACTGCGTGTTGAGTGCTTATTGTGGGCTTCTTTGTATAAATTTCTATTACAGTCATCTAATTTAATATTAGTAGAATCCTCTATAGAAAAACAATTATTCACATTATCTATAGAATTAATGCACTGCTCGCGTGAAGTGCAAATAACAAGATTTATTGCCTTTACAATAGATGTCCATATGCACAGCTGCAGGGCAAATGGTATTGTTGCATTTTTTTCTATTATTGTTATCTTTGGAGTCTTCATATTTTATAAATTAAAATCTCATCTTTAAATTAAAGCAGTCTACTCTAACAAACTGTATGATTTAGTGTTAATAAGCAAAGCTTACAAAAGACATCAAAGCAATAGCAATAGAGAAATATTCTAAAATAATTGCATTTAATTTAAATTTAGGATATGTTTTCTACTGGTTTCTACCATACCATGAACCATATAGAATACGGGAGTCTCACGCATATATATGCTAAGTCATATAGAATTGTTGTATACGGATGTATAAAACTTTATAAGAGGAGAATAATAAAAACGTGAATGAGCACAATTTATGTAACAGAAAAGACGAACTAAAAGGAAAATTAGAAAGTCTATCCACTGTACCTAGGGAAAATGATAAAAGCATACAAGAATATATACCTTTAGTAGAAGAGGTGTTCCAAACCATATCATTAGACCAAGGCAGAAGAGTAGTTGAAGGACTATTGGAAGACATATATTGCACATGGAAGAATTTCCTTCATGAATAAAGCTTTTCTGGTGAAAACATAAGCCTTTGAAGTGTTTCGGCAACATAGAAAGTAAAATATATGATACACTCATATGCCGAGTAGATCAAGTAGGACGCCTGTCACATGAATGGACAGAAACCGACTGGAACGGATATTGGGAAGATTCCCTAGTATGCCTCGAGGAACACAAGAAATACCATCCAATTAGAAAGCCTAGTAGTATACATCACATTTCTGCAGCATCGAAAGAGGCCTATGAAGCCTGGGCGCGGTGTATGCGCCCCGAGTCTTGAGGAAATGTTTTTCAATAGAGCATGTTATACAGGATCTTAGACAGTCACGCTGGGAATATCCACAGGGGATATGAAACTTATGAAATATGACAGGAAATCTCACCCTACAGAATGCACTAGAGAAACTACATGATCTATGCATTGATTTGGATAATAGGGAAAAACAAGAGAAACTAGCAACGCGGCCAAAACGCCACAAAAAGAATAAATTATCTAGGTCTTTTAATTAAAACTATAGCCGCTCCGAACACTCTACAAACAATTGTTTGAAAAAATATCGGAAACAGAAACCAGTTTACACAATAGAGAACATTCAGCCTAACCACGACCGAATCAAATAGAGAAAATCTAACTTTCTTTATACTCTAAAAATAGAATATAATTCCACTACAAACAAGTATTAATCTGGAAAAACTATCACTGTTGCAGTATATTAAAAACGAGTCAGCACAATGAAAAATAAACAGATTATAATATAGCTATAACTAATTGTTTATATTATATGTGGATTATACGCAGATTTGTTATTATACAGTATTCGGCAGAACAGCCAAGTCTATAATACCCTTTGGCTATGACTAACCAATACAGCTTTTCTTTCCTTCTCATGCTTTGCATGTTTTATCTTCTTATTTCTTTTGTCTATTTATACATTTAATACAGCTCCTATTTAATGCGTATTTCATAATTGAATATAGCTACTGTAATAATAATAGTCATATAGCAGAAGTAATTTCGGGTTTATGTTCGAAACAGGAATTTAAAATAAAAAGCCATTCGAGGCTTACGGACAGAGGATATTATACAGCTGGGGTAGAGCAGCAGAGCCAAGCACTGCCTTATAAATAGCAGACAGATTGGAGTAGCCGTTTATTTAATAATAGGTGTACTGGCTGTGTACATGAGGATTGCACTGTACTGTCTGCTTACAGTAAATCATTACTAAACATATGTATATGTAATTGATACAGCGGCTTACCGCGAGTTGAGGTCCAGCTTACTACACAGATATCGCATATATATTACGCCTATGCCAGTGATATAGTATAATCCAATACAGCGAAGTTATAAGCAGTGTGCTGTGGTAGAGGTACAGGAAGGGGAATTCATGTACGCGCTAGTGCCTTATTAAGTCGGTGCAGACTACGCAGCGGTTCTAAATGTTAGATGTACAAGCATCAAGGGAAAAAGTAACATGCGTCGAATTACCTAATAAAAAGATTGGAGCATAATCTAACCCATATGGCTCCCCCGAAGGGATGTGATAGTAGAAGACCCCGCCCGAGTGTCGAATTGTCGGGTTCTCCTGCACCTCTCAGCACACCACTTATAACTTCACTGCACCAGAAAGAGAAGCAGCTCTCCGGGACACTGAAACTCAGAATGCGAGGCCTTTAAATACCTTCAAAAAATAATTAATTTGTCTAAGTATGGTAGAGAGACATGCACTATACGCATCTAGATCCATTTAAATTAAACTTAAGGGCAATTGCATGAATTAGAAGGATCTATCCCAAGAATAGACTAAATATACAACAATATATCGGTGTATAGGCATATTAAAAGGAGTGTTTACAGAGAGTGTGCAGTAAGGCTGGTTAACTTAGACGTATTCCTAGTATATCAAGTGTTATAGTGACAAATAAGTAATAGATATACTCTGTTCTGTGATATATTTATATAAACAATAAGACTAATATAATTAGAATTGGATTGGCATGTAAACATTCATTTATTCTATTGTATATTATCCTGTTCTGCTGTAATTAGTCTAAGAGAATAAAAGTGATAGTAAGCTCTTGTGGTGTTGTTTTGTTGCTATTAATTATATATATATTTATTAGTATAATTTTACTTTACTTTAATATTTTTATAAGAAAGAAATGTCTTCACATGATTTTAATTATAATAATATTCTGGGTATAGATTTAAAATATTTAAAATATGAAATTATATAGTAACGCAATATAAATAGAAGTGTTAAGAAAGAAAGCATTCTATTAAGATATAAATATAAAAGATTTTTTATTATCGCTAGAAATCAATACTAC